ACTTGGCCTTGTTGAACCTCATGAGGTTCACACAGGCCCACCTGTCCAGCTTGTCCAGTTCCCTCTGGATGGCATCCCGTCCTTCTGGTGTCTCAACCGTACCACTCAGCTTGGTGTCATCTGCAAACTTGCTGAGGGTACACTCGATGTCGCTGTCCATGTCATTGATAAATATAATGAACAGCACCGGTCCCAGTACGGACCCCTGAGGGACTCCACACGTCACTGGTCTCCATCCGGACATTGAGCCGTTGACCACTACCCTTTGGCTGCGACCATCCAACCAATTCCTTATCCACCGAACGGTCCACCCATCAAATCCATGGCTCTCCAATTTAGAGAGAAGAATGTTGTGGGGGACCGTGTGAAAGGCTTTACAAAAATCCAGATAGATGACATCCATTGGTTTTCCCTTGTCCACCCTTGTTGTTACACCATCATAGAAAGCCACTAGGTTGGTCAGGCAGGACTTGCCCTTGGTGAAGCCATGCTGGCTGTCTCAAATCACCTCCCTGGCCTCCATGTGCCTTAGCATAGCTTCTAGGAGGATCTGTTCCATGATCTTCCGAGGCACAGAGGTGAGGCTGACAGGTCGGTAGTTCCCAGGGTCCTCCTTTCTACCCTTTTTGATAATGCCCAGTATAATTTCAGTTCTTCTAAAAATGTATTTGTGTAAGAAATCTTTTAATTATCTTTTGAAGTATAAATTCTTAGAATGAAGTGCATTCAGGGCATTGTTAATTCTCAGTTACTGGCTGTGTTGTGAATCTTTTTGGAAAGACAAAGATGGCTTTGATGCATACACAGAAGTATATTTTCTCTTTGTCCAAAATCGTAATGTTTGACTAATGGCAAGGGGAAGCCATGGCATAGGTAGTTTTCCTTTTGTCAATCACACATGATTGGGCAAGAGAGAGACCATTGTGTATTTGTTGTACTGCTGTATCACTTGGAAGACTTAATTGTGTGTTAAGCGATATTAATTGTGCTATTAGGGATATTGTCTTTTGCTGCAAGGTATCAAATGTGCGTTGTACATGGCCAACTATTATCTGAATTGAAAAAGAAGCTCTCTGAGTTCTGCTTAATCATCTGCTTTCCTAAATGAAGCGTCTAGATATGGACTGGGCCCAAATGGTGGAATAGTGACCTCTCTCAATCTCTTTGCTACAAGATTTGATCAGGTACAAGGTTGTTCCTATGTGATACTGTGCTACAAATACTGTGCTGGGAGACTGAGGAGTTTTTTTTGTGTATTTGGAGTCTCAGAGAGCACTGTGTTTGGTTAGCCTCCTGATACTCCTTTGGAGTTAGAGTATTCTTCATACAGAACCATGTATTTCACAAAGTAGCCAAAGTGCATTAGCTTTCATTGGAGAGATTTCACTTTTTTCAGCTTTTTAAAAAGTAAAATTTAGAAGCCACATGTACAGAACGTTCTTTAGTCTTTGTACATAACTATTCTATTGCACTATGTTCACTATAAAATCTTTCATAGGAGGACTCTGATTTTGAAGTAGGAAAGCTCACTTCTGGACACAGGTTAAGATTTCCTATGGTTATTTGATAATTGACCGCTCTCTTAAGTCAGACTACTAAATCAGCTCTGGGAGTGGGAAATTATGCAAGTTATTGAGACAGTGCACAATTTCTTAGTAAAAAGGCAGGGAACAGCTGCATTTGTTATACTGTTTCTTTAGCCACGTACTAGAACACAGACAAAATCAAGGTTGTCTTTGACCCATGCAGTGTCTGAGCATTTTCCGCCCTTCCTTAGTAGGGCATTTTCACACACTGAAAAGCTTAGAGATTTCAGTCGTCTTCTGATACATACATGCAGCTGTGCAAGTTAATGTAGTTTCTGGTATGAAATTATTATGAAGTTTCCTGTTGTGAGCCTAAAAACAAAGTATACTCCTCCTTTTTCAATCAGGTGATGAAGTTTATTGAAAAAAGACAAAATGCATCCAAGTGAGTACATTCTACCGAGTTCTGCTTTGCTGGGACGGGTGTGGGAAACCCATGTGAAATCCTAGAAAGATTCTCTGAATGTTTTCTAGTTGTTTTTCAGCCTTGGTACAAATTTTATGTGGAAAAGGATAAAGAATTAAAGCAGATGAACTAGACTTTCTTCCGATACGTCAAAGAAATGTCTGCTGATTCCAGTTCTGCTTTTCTCGTCTTCCATTAGACTGTAATTTTTTCTCACTCACTGTTCAAATAGGCAGCAATTAATTCTTCTGAAGAGTTTGCAGTACTAAGTGTCTGTGAAATTGATGCCTTCAGCTTCAATAGAATCTGAAGAGAGTACTTGCTTCTTAGTTACAAAATTGATACAGGAAATTTTCAGGCATGGGCATAGATCTTGTCACTGTTTGGGAGAAGCTTTTCTGATCTGTAACAGAATAATCATGTGATTTGCCCTTATGTGCTTGTGGTAATCTAGTCAGAACGGGACCATGTGCTTAACTAATTTTCTCTTATTTTTTGTTGGGCGTAACTTCTTTGCAGGTATGTTATTATTGACACACCAGGACAAATTGAGGTATTTACCTGGTCAGCATCAGGAACCATCATAACTGAGGCATTGGTAAGTGTTTTCTACATGACAGTGAGGCTGTGTGGAAGAAGTGGCTGTTGAACAGCATGTACTTCTAATTAAAATATCTTTTATTTGTGTTTCCAGGCTTCCTCTTTTCCTGCAGTTGTTGTTTATGTGATGGACACCTCTCGCAGTACTAACCCTGTCACCTTTATGTCCAACATGCTGTATGCCTGCAGGTAAGAAAAGCTGAAAATGCAGGCCATCTGCTTAGGTTGCTGTGTCTCTTTCATACTGCTTTTGGAGGGGAATCGTAGAATGGTTTGGTTTGGAAGGGACCTTTAAAGACCATCTAGTCCACCCCTCCTCCCATGGGCAAGGACATTTTTCACTAGATCTGGTTGCTCAAAACACTGTCCAGCTTGACCTTGAACAACTCTGATGATGGGACACCTACAGCTTCTCTGGGCAACTTGCTCCAATGTCTCACCACTGTTGTCATAAAAAATTTCTTCCTTATGTCCAATCTAAACTTAGCCCCTTCCAGTTTAAAACTGTTGTCCCTTGTCCTGTCACTACAGGCCTCTGTAAAAAGTCTCTCTCTCTCTTTCTTATAAGCCCCCTTTAAATACTGAAAGGCCACAATAAGGTGTCCCTTATGCCCTCTCTTCTCCAGGATGAACAACGCCAACTCTTAGCCTTTCTTCATAGGTGAGGCGTTCCAGCCTTCGGATTGTTTTTGTGGCCCTCCTCTGGACCTGCTCAAACAGGTCCATGAACTTCTTGTACTGTGGGCCCTAGAGCTGGACACAGTGATCCAGGCGGGGTCTCAGAGGGGCAGAATCACCTCCCTCAACCAGCTGTCCACGCTTCTTTTGTTGCAGTCCAGGATAGCATTGCCTTTATGGACAAGCACACATTGATGCCTCATATACACTTAATCTGCTTGGTTATTCTCTTAGTGATTTTATCCATTGGATGAGCAAAATAATTTAGGTGCCAACAGACATCTGGTGGTCATTATGTCAAAACTCCCACTGAAAGGATTAAATAGTCCATGAGACCTTAGTGTGATGAAGGCTAGTTACATCAGAGCTAACGCATTGCCTGTTGCTTATAAAATCATTTATCTAAGGTCTATCGCGATAGCCTACTTTAAGCTGCTTCTTGTAAACACATAATATTTTATTCCTTTTTTTTACTATTATTGATACTTTCGGTGATTTTTCAAGATCTGTTTGGAGCTCAGCATAGCATGGAGTTCTTGTTTCACTGTCTTCCTCCTCATACATGGATTTACCTGTTTTCTTTCACATTGAACCAGAGACTAAATACCTAGGTAAAGATCAACATATCTAGAGCTCTCATAATTCATGGTAAATGCTGGCAAAAGGTTTTCAAAAAAATCTATCAGTCCTTGTACCAAGGTCAAAAGCTGCATCACTGTGATAGGTGTATGCAAAACGTGTCTTACTACATGCTGCATTGTCTGACATTAGTGTTGAGTGAAAGATGCTAGAAATGTACAGTGAAATGAATATGTAAGCTCACGTCTCAAGGTAGTTTTGCTTAGTAGATATTTTGAGTTATTTGAGTTCGTTGCTCAGTTCACAAATAATATCTCGGAACCTAAGGTTTGAGTCAAAATCATTAAAAAAATGCAAAGAGAGTTAAAAACTGGGATTTGAGAGTGATAGAAAGTAGCAATCAGAATCAGCCAGGTGTGTAGAACATTTTCTATCTTACAGACATGTGCCTGCATCTTGGGGGAGTATATTTTGTTCAACTATGGTAGGCAGGATCTGGGTGAAAATTACATTCTAGTTGATGCAGAGGAAAATAATTATTTTTTGAAGTCAAATGTTCAGTTTTGCACAAATCTCATCTGTCTTACTCTTAACTTGTTTTCTATTCGAGTGAGATTTAAATTAATTGTAAATTTTTTGTGGTTCTTTTTTTGTTCCCCCCTCCCAGCATCCTGTACAAGACAAAGCTACCTTTCGTTGTTGTCATGAACAAAGTAAGTTAAAGCTGTGGTTGCTATGTCCTAGTGGAACATTGTTCTATTTAGCTTGCTTTACTGTAGTGTCTTTGTCTTACTACAATAACAGATTTTCTAGAAAAGAGAGGCTGCGAGGGAGCTGCAGGCTGAAAACCAAATCTAAAATATACAAATGCACAAGAAGAATCAGTGGTGGGCTATTATACCCAAACATTCGAGTTAGAGATAATACTAACAATTTGAAAAATGTTTTGCACCTTAACCCTAGACTATAAAGAAGCTTAACTTTGTAACATAAGGGTAAGTTTATTACTGAATCCGCTCTTACAGTCCACTGCTTCCTCAGAAAGATTGTCTTAATCATTAATTATTTCTACTCAGCAGCAGGGTAATGACTCATGGTTGGAACTGTGTAACACCTGCTTGTTTTGAAGGAGTACCATGTATTGTAGCAGGCAAAACATAACAAAAGGTGTTTGGTTGTGATCAGTGACACTAAAAACCATGCCAGCATTTTCCAGAAAGCAGATACTTACTAGCCTAAGTATACACCTCTACTGTTAAGTTACTTGTAGAAGCTAGCTGCCAGCTAGCTGGTTCTTCAAATACAAGTGTCATATATTAAAAGAATCCCATTCCCCACAGACATCCTTTCTGTTCAAGGAATTGCCCCCCAACATAGAAAACTCTCTGTGTGTGTGCACATATATCCCATAAGCTTCCTCAAGAAGACCCATGCTTTGAATGTGATTTTTTTTTTTTTGCCTCACACCAGCTGAGTAGGGTGGGTGTCTGATGTATTCCAACACCACACATCTTCCCGGTGATCAAAACCATGCATGTCTTTGATATCTGCTTGCTTACTTAGCAAGTTTTTGTACACTCTTTTCTTTTTAACTCTAGACAGTAATTTTAGAGTAAGCTGTTAAGCTTTTACTGTAGAAAAAGGCATGAGATAGGAAAATTATTCTCTCTGGGGGAGTGAGTGAGTCTGTAGAAGTTCAGCAAGCGCAGCTTGAGCAGTTGTGGGTGAATGCTTATACCCCTATGGGAGTCTGTGAAAGGTATATTGTGTTTCCTCCCAAGTGAAAGCTTTTTCTTTTTTTTTTTTTTTTAATCCTCCTCCTTCAAGGGAACCATAAAGAACATATCTTTTACATCTGGCGCCACCATCCATGGATGTGCAGCTGCTTGCAAAATAGCTGTGAAGTTTGCACTGTTTGGTACAGCAGCTGTTAACGGGGGTTGTGGTAGCATTCAGGAGCCGATAATCAGTTGTTAAACCCCACCTCCTGTCTGGTTTCCGAACTGGCCAGGGGAGTGAGCTATATGGGGAGTGGGTTCTGGAGATGATTTGTTGTTTCTTCAAATAAGCAATGACTTCAGAAATTCCATTTCGTGCCGCAGCAGAAATCAGGTATTGCAGTATGTTAGTAATTTTTGAATTGGGGAGTGCAGGGGCTGCATGAATTACGCACACTGCAGTCTCCCTCTTTCTGGTGGGGTTGGGACGGATGTTTGAGCCGAAGGACCACACACTGCCATTCGGCAGGCACCAAGTTAGTCTATTTGAAAGATCAAAACCTAAAATATTTTCGTGGTGATCTTTAGTTGCAAAGTAGTCGACATGCATTTCTCTCCCCGGAGCCATAACCTTGGTAGTTTGACACACTTAACTCTTGGCATCTCATTTTGTTGGATTTGAAATTTGCGCTCCCATATCTATTAAAAACTTCACTAATTGTCCTTGGGGACCAATTGGAATTAAAATGTATGGGCCATCATCACTTACCCCCTTACAAGCCTCCACTTCCCAGACAGTCAGGCCCAATTGCCTTCCTGACATTCATGTCTGCAGTTCCTCCCTAAGGGGGAGGAAGGGGGTTGTCTCCCGACTGGCCACACAGGAATTGAAATACTCTCCTCTTCAGGATTATCTGGAATGCTTCAGTTGGACTCAAGATAATGTCAGTAAGCTGACCTTGAATTGCAGCTCTGGGAATGCTGAGGCTGATGCGTTCCTCCATAATTCATTCCTCAGTTTTAGGGATTCCGGGGGTTTTTAAATTTGTGTCCCTTTGATCTAGCTTCTGTTCCCTGTTTCAGGGAGTTTTTGTGATCTCCTCCCCGGGGCTTCAGGTTTTGTTTTTCACTTGGTGCGCCCATTTCATGGCTGCAGTTAATAATGCTGTGCATTAATTCTGCCCACGCAGGGAGTTGTTTGTGGGCATTTTGAGCGTGATCACCTAATCCCTCCTTGTATTCTGTGTCTGTCTTGATCTTATCTCGTTTTACAACGAGATGGGTTTTAAGAATTGCTGGGACCCCTCTAATCAGTGGTTCTAACATTGCCTTTGTGTGGCCCTGAGTTACTTCTAGGAGGTTTTTCATACCTCCATAATCAGTGACACTACTTGCCATCCTGTTGACTACACCAATTTGTCCTGGAAGGAGCGATGCACTTCACTCCTAAGAGAGAAGCAACAATATATTTATTGATATAAAACAGTGAGTTCATAAAATTTGATAGTAAATGCCACAGTGGTTTAACAAGATTTGATGGCAAAGTACACGGGATTATTTATGTTGTCCATGGATGACAGAGTCAGATAAAACTGTCAGGGAGACCCTCCCATAGAGTCATGATGTCACCGAAAATCCGGGAATAAAACCTCATAACACCAATGTAGTGTTAAAAGGCAGGCATTCTTTATTGCAGCGCTGGATGCACGGGGGATAATTCCACCAAACGTGCATACCTCATACCTTTTCCATGCGGTTTATATAAATCAAAAATATGTATATTTATTTATACATATTCATTATTATTCTCTTTGGTGATTGGTGCAAATTTGCTTGCTTTGCATGTAAATTATTACTCAGTCATCCTCTTCCATTGTTCTGTTTTGAGTAGGTGGCATTACTTGGGTAGGTGGTCAGTGGGTCGGTGGTTGCGATCTGCCCCTGCCGGAATTACCTTCTACCCACTCGGTTCTCAGTCTTGGCAGTCCTGGTCAGTTTTAGAATCATAGAATCATAGAAAGTTTTGAGTTGGAAGGGACCCCTAGAGGTCATCTAGTCCAACCCCCCCGCAGCAAGCAGGGACACCGCTAACTAGATCAGGTTGCTCAGAGCCCTGTCCAACCTGGTCTTGAATGTTTCCAGGGATGGGGCCTCCACTACCTCTCTGGGCAACCCGTTCCAGTGTTTCACCACCCTCATTGTAAAGAATTTCTTCCTTATATC